CTCCTCCATGAAGCTTTTGCTGACAAGGCCCCTTCCCCTGGGTAGCTGACCCTTTTTTCCATTTTTCCCTCTCTCGTTCATAGAATTTGAAAGACCTAAGTTTTGGGTTTTTTTTTTCTGGACAAGACCAGCTAGACCACATTGCACAGCCCCCTTGCAGGTGGAGGTGGGCAGGTGGCTGAGTTCTGACCCATGGAATATGAACAGAAGTGAGTGCAGCACTTCCAGGCCTGGCCTATGAAGCAAGTATCACATAATTCCCATACTCTTTCCCTTTCACACCAACTCCATCCAGGTGAACATGGAAATCACATGTTTAAGAAGATGGGGCCACAGTATGGAAGAATTACTGCTTGGAATTGAGCCACATTACAATCTTGAAGAGAACTTATATTAGCAAAATATAAACTTCCATTGTAGATTAACTGTGAAAAACTTTAAAAATTATTCTACACTAATGTATTCAACAAATGATTATTGACTGCCTACCCCATGTCTGAGGTGTTCTGAGTGCTGGAGATATGATGATGAACAACTCACAGTGGAAATGAGAATTTATTAAAAATGCAATGCATAATTTCAAGTCATAAGAGCTGTGAAAAAATTCTGAGTATTTCTACTATTGCACTTTTTTTTTTTAAAGACAGGCTCTCACTCTCACCCAGGCTGGAGTACAGTAGCAGGATTGTGGTTCACCACATCCTCTGCCTCCCAGGCTCAAGTGATCCTCCCACTTCAGCCTCCCAAGTAGTTGGAACCAGAGGCACACGCCACCACAGCCAGCTAATTCTTGTACTTTTTGTAGAGACTGGGTTTTGCCATATTGCCCAGGCTGGTCTCAAACTCCTGGGCTCAAGCAATCCACCCACCTCAGCCTTCCTAAATGCTGGGATTACAGAGGTGAGCCATTGTGCCTGGCTAACACTTTTAAAATTTGATTATAGCTTCCTTTTATGTGCCTGCACACTAGAATCTGAGATTTTGAGGGAAAGTAGTGGATATTTTCATCTTTCTATGTATAATTCGATAAATGTTGATTAAATGAATGTAGTTACAAGGTGTAATGTGGCAGAGACAGTGAAACATAGTGCAAAGGGAGAAGAAAAAAAGGAGGATGCCCCTTGTACTGAAAGTAACTAGGAAGGTTTAACAGAGGAAACGGCTTCTAAGCAGAGCTTTGGAAACGGATTACCATCTTAGCACATACCCTACTGAAGTAGGGAAGAGCATCACACTAGGATAAAGGAACAACAACAATAAAAAGACATAAATATGAGAAATACAGGGTATTTGGGGACATTGAAGCACTCTGCTTAGGCTGGTGTATAAGGTGTGTAATGAGGAATAAAACTGGGCCATGGAGACCCTAGGATGCAGGCTCTAAAATGTTTGAATTTCACTCTGGATCATCGAGCAAAGAAATTACATGATCTAGCCTCTGCTTTGGGACCAATCTTTTTGGCCTAGGTTGCTTACCATTTTTCATTTCACCAAGCATCTGTTAAGTGCCTTCAATGTGTTAGACATGGAGCTGGGCACTGCAGGTCATGAATTGGTGAAACACTGCCCTTCCCTCACACTCTAGTTGGGAAAGACAACTATGTAGACTTTATTGAACTATGGAACTATTATTTCAATGCAATAATTAAGTAAATAAAATTTACAGAAGTAGTACAGAAAAACATATGATATTTTGCTTTTGTTCTGGGGCAGAGGTGGGAGTGGGGGGATTATCTTAGAAGGACACATGTGAGCTTTCCAGAGAACATGGGCAGGCTTTCCAGACAGACAGAGGAGCAAATGCAAGCACACAGGGGGGTGAAACACCATGTAAGCCCATCATGTAATTTGACCCTGATTCCAAGATTGCACACTAAAAACATCAGCGTTTTCAAATTTTCTCTATCAAAGCTATTAATAAAGAGTATAATTCAAGTTATCGCTCAGCTTTGAAATAACAAAAACACCTTCAAGGGAATTCTGCACACTCCTTCTTCAGAGCTTGATCTCCTCCCCCTGATTTCCCCAGGGCAGGGTTTTTCTGATTCCCTTCAGGACCCGGAGTTCCCTAAGGGAGTAAGACACCTCGTCTTGTTCATCTCGTTTCTGCAGCTTGCACAGCACGGTTCAGGGCTCCCCAGATATTTGAGGTACAAAGATATCCACATATCCACTTTATGCACATAGAAAGCACATAAAGAGGAACCTATATTAAGTGAGTTTTCCATGTGTTCACAGAGCAAAACAAAATATGAAATTCCCAAGTGTTTCCCATTTTCTGTGAAGTAGTGCATGGTGTATTAAATAAATGCACCTCTGATATGAATGCCACAATGACAACAGGTGTTGTGATATGTCTTAATAAGGCCCCAAAGGAAAGTTACACCTTGGGAGAGGCAGACTGAATTACCCTTCAGGCTCTATGTCAATTATCTGCTACGTGTACTAAAGAATTCACAGTAGGTTGAAGAAAGCTTTATTTTTTTTCCTGATGTTGGTCATTAATTTTAGGTGAGGTTGCATGCTTTCAGTTGTTTTCAAAATTGACAGCCCAACATGGTGTTCTACAAATGTCATTTAAGGATCCTCATACTGCTCATTCTATGTCATTTAATGCTCAAGTTTTATTAATAACTTTAGTATCGCAATCATATTTTTGGTTGTCTTATTCTGTGAGCCAATTAACAGACCCTGAGAGTACATGGAAGTCCTGACTAAAATATGACTGCCTTTCCACAGAGGTCATCAGCTGCTGTCTAAGGTCCTGACTGTCATTAGCAAATTGGTTGGGATGGAGGGTTCATTGGGAAGCCTGGAGCTTGCCTTACAATCTAAGCCCATCCTTAGGTCTGAAAGGTGAAGCAACATTTCCAAGGTGACAAATATTGTAAGTGATGAAGTTGGGGCCTCGGCCCAATCATTCCTGGGGTTAGGCTGAGTCCCAGGAGTGCAATGCAAATGCTGCAACTCTATTTGCAAAGAAAATCCTTGAGCTAATGTCTTCTGTCTTCCCGGTTTATGATGACCTCAGGGTGATATTTAAACTCTGTGACAGACTATGAATGGGCACCCTTGTGCTGGTGGCTCTAACTCAGGAAATTATCTGTCCTTAATAGGATCACTTGAAGTCTCCAGATCTTATTAAAACTGTAATTTTTTTCAGCAAGGACTCTACATTTCACAATAACAAAAGGCAGAGAGCAAGCAGCAATTTCTGGAAGTCATAACAATGACAGGCTGGTACCTAAGGTGTGTGAGAAGGACCAGTGAGGAATAAAACTAGGCCATGGAGACCCTAGGATCTAGACTCTAAAATGTTTGAATTTTACCCTGTTGATCCCATATGCAAAACACACTCGCTGACCACCCCCCGCCCAAGACCCACATCTATCTCACCTGTTACAGCCCCAGTCTTAGGCTCAAGGGCCAGTAGCTCATCACCTAAATCAGGCTCAGGTGCTGCAGCTGAGACTCCTCAGCTACAGATCCTCATTTACAGCCTCTTGAAGACTGCTCCTGATCTCAAGATCTGTGAACTAAAGTGACAAGTTGTTTGCCTTCCACAAACCCAGCATATTTTGGTGGGCTAGGCATAGGACAGCCACTAAAGACATTTGAAAAACAGAACCTAGATGGTAATCAGTAGTCCACAGCAGCTCTGCAATCCAGCCAGGCACAGGTTGCCGGTTCCTTGATTAGAACTCAGTGATCTCTCTAGGAATGATTATCCCTGGCTCTTGACTCCATTGTCTGGGCTATTGGTTTCTCCCTCTGACTTATCATTCCTGTCCTATTAAATGTTCCCCATCTTTATGGCTGAGGGGTCAGTCTGCTTCTTTCTCACAGAATTTCAGAGGTCCAAAAAAAACCTCTTTTCATTTTTTACTATCTCTTTTTTAGTATCAACTAATACTTTCATTAGTACACATCTCTTTAAAACTTTGTGTGTTTCTTATAAATCTGAGATTCACATGTAACCTCAACGAGATAAACTTTTTTCTACTCTATGCCCCTCTAAGGCTATTGTGGAACGTTGCCCTTATGATTCTTGGAAGCATTTTTGTTTAGTGGAGATGGCTGAGAAGGATGCCCTTAAGATCTTTAAAGCATCTTTGACTGTTTGAAAAAAAAAACCTACGAAGTACTTCCTTAAATCTGCCTGAGTTTTAACAAAGAATTCTGGAGTTACACTGTTGTCTTCATCTTTAAATGAAAATTACATATTATAATGTTAGCCTCATTTGCCATATGGAGAGGATGAGACTAAGTAATAGTTGTATTTTTTGGACACCCACAGTCTTGGCTCTTTTGTATTTAACAATTTTTCCTTACTTCATCTCTCTGCTCTCATATTTTACTGTGGGCAGCTAAAAGAACCAGGCAGCACCTTCAACATCCTGTCTAGATATGTCCGTACTGGGTTGTGAGCTCCTTAGGTATATTTTCTGTTTTTAAGCTGCTGCAGTATCTACGGGATACTGCCAGGCATCCCACCACCTCATAACCAGGGCTTCCTCTCTTCCAGCTTCTTATACATTTTATTTACTTTTCTTTAATCTTTTACTGACAATTCTTCCAATTTCCATTCTCCACTCAGGCCCCGAACCACTGTCACGTTTTACGTTTTGTTACAGCAATACCTCACATCTATTGTGAAACAAACCCCCTCAAAATTGGTGACTGACCTAAAAATAAACAACTTAAAATAATCTTTCATGGTTCCTGCAAATACAGTATTCTGGATCAGCTTGTCTGTGAGGTTCTGGCATAAGAATTCTTGAAATCAGATGATTCTGGGATTGGAATCCACTCAAAGGCTTCTTCATGCACATATCTGGCACCTACACTGGGAAGACTTGAATAGCTGGGGCTGGAACTACTGGATCTTTAAGCATCTTTCTCTTTGTCTATATGGTCTCTCTCTCTCTCTCTCTCTCTCCACCCCCCACACCCAACCTTCCAGTCTCTCTCTCTCTCTTTATCTCTCTCTCTCACTCCCTCCCACCCCCACCAGTGGCTCTAGTACATGGTTTCCTTGTGCCAAAGGAGTATACCTCCAGGGAGAGAGCACCAGGCAGAATCTTATCTTTTGTGAACTAGCCTTGAAAACCACACAGAATCACTCTGCTACCTTTGCAAAATGAGAAGCAAATTGCTAAGGCCAGCCCGATATTTAAACGGAGGGCAACTAGACTCCACCTCTTGATGGGAAGTGTTTCCAAGAATTTTCAGACATGTGCTAAAATCATCATACCTCTGCATTGAACGATACAGAGGCCCCATCCTAATATGTGTGTGCTTGCTAATCAGGAAGAGTTTGGTAGAAAATCCCAGACTGAGATACTCTTGGAATTCTGGGAGTTAAGTCTCCTGATTTTAACATTACCTGCAACTGAATGTTATCCCCTGTAATCACTTGGGAAACCTTTGCCTACCCTATTGCTTTTGAATCCTGAGGTGATAACTGCCCAGAGTCCCATTTGCCTCACAGGAAACCACGTGTTATATAGAGGAGTGACGCTCTATGCCTCTCATTAGCTTCCTGCTTCCCAAAGCCAGGCAGCCACTGTCCCAAAGGAAAAATAATCTGCATCAAGTAGCTAAGAAGAACCCTTTCCATCTCTAGTCTCACTAAGGCTTGCTAATGCTTGGATTTGACTTAACCTAGGTAAGTAGCATTTTAATGCTAATTTGTAAAAACGCTGCTGTGCCAAAGAATTAAATAAGCAGTCATATAGCTTTAAATGTTTCACAAGAAACTAAAATAAAACCTTTTGGGACAGGCAATCAAGTTTTCCACCCCACCTCATCCAAGGCAAAAAGAACTCCCTGGTCTACAAGGTTTTGATTGTGTAGAATGTAAGTTTCGGCCATAGTTGGGATAGTATACAGTCAATTTTCTAAATGTAAAGAAATGCTTGGGGGACAGGGATTTTCATTTACAGGCTAACAAATGAAAATGTGTATGTGGGTGTGAGAGCCGGCACAGGAAAGTGAGATATTCCACCCTTGAAAATGATGGGAGTCCCCTTTTCTGTATTTAGACTACATCTCTGCCGTTCATGAAAATCCATGTCTTGTTCTTTTCCCCTTTAAACCCTTCTCTCTCTGACCTTCCTTTCCCCCGGCTTTATTTATTTATTTTTAAAAATAATTGAGTCACATGTGATTCATTTCTAAAGCTTAAGACTTATGCTCAAACACAAATCCCATTGTTCACTTCCTTAGGGAGAGTGAGTTACTCCAGAGGAAAAAAGTAGAGATTTTGTATATGTTTTTGATTCTGTGAATTTATATTATAATAAATTGTGTAGAAAATGTGACAGACCTTTGAGTAATCCAAAAGCACGGTATTTTGGACCAGAAAGGAAATGATTGAAATACACAAAGCTTTGGAGGGACCTGGGAGGAGAGATTTACATTCAAACTTTTTGCCTAATGTCCTTGTCTTTTTGAATGCTGATAGTGCATCTGTTGTTCCAGGGGACTCCTGCAACGCCACCTTATTCGCTTTCTCTTTCCCATTGTTAAGGAGTGTTGTTTGGAGCCTATGTGATTTTAACAGAGACTCAGCTAAGGTAAGCCTCAGAGATCATTTGTTTGGTATAAAGTAAGATGATTGGGGAAAAGTCAGCAGGAGGCAGGGGTTGGAAGGACAGTAGGCTCTGATGACAAAATATCACATGGAATCAGATCAATTTCTAGCTTTTAGCCTCTTAGTTTTAATCACATCTTTCCTTCCTGTGTATCAACAATATTGCTGCCAAAACCCTACAGCTAAGAGTGACATAAACATTCAAATCTCCCAGAGACAGATGGCAACATAAATCTCCATTGTTGCTTTCTTAGAGGATTCCCAGCCTATTGCCATGTGTGGTGAATGGGACATTAGAGGTAGCTATTTCCCACAAGAGCGGTTTTTAGATTCACCTTCAGCAAGTAAAGATGCTTCATTGTTTCGGGGGAATTTTGCTGGCTAAAATCCTAGGGATTACAACAGCAAGAGAAAGCTAATGCTTGAATGAAAGTCATCAATTAGCAACTCCACAACTTCCTCTCTGTTTGGCCTCCCAGAATAACAGATGAGGTTGTTACAGCCACTGGCCACCCTCTACCCAAAAAGTCTGTCATGATTATACAGACTGGTCAGGCTAACAGGTTGCCTTAATCATAGTGTGAGAAAGATGAATGGCCAAGCCATGTTTTGTTCTGTTTTTTTTGTTTGTTTGTTTGAGTCAGAGTCTCTCTGTGTTACGCAGGCTGGAGTGCACTGGGCACAATCACAGCTCATTGCAGCCTCACACTCTGGGATCCAACAAACGCTCCCACATCAGCCTCCCAACTAGCTGGGACCACAGGTGCATGCCACCACATCTGACTATTTTTTTATTTTTGTAGAGATGGGGGTCTTCCTATATTGTCCAGGCTGCTCTCAAATTCCTGAGCTGTAGCAACCCACCTGCCCGGCCTCCCAAAGGGCTAGGATTAGAGGTGTGAGCCAGCACACTTGACCCAAGCCCTGGTTTTGATCAGAAAATCTCAGACATATTTGAATCTGCAATCATGTACTTAACCAGAATATGGCCTTTTGCCAAATTGCCTTATTTTAAAGTGCCATTTTTCTGTTATATGACAACCTTTAGTCAGGGCTGCTTGATCTTCACCAAATACATGTTGTAGCCTTAACATGTTTTTAGATATACCTAGATATTAGTCCCTTCTACCTACAAATACGTCTTTGTTTGATTTTAGAAATCCAAATCTACACATCTTCAGTTATTAATTATGGCTTTCATGGCAATCTGCAGGACAGGAGGGGTCACTGAGTGTGTCATTACTCTGAAGGGGATCTCTGGTCCCTGGGGCGTTCACATCTGCCTTGGGTGCCAGGGCAGAGCAAAATCAGCCCATGTCAGTCGTAGGAGAGAGAACAGAGGAAATGTGAAACAGTCAGTTTAAGAATCATACTGAGAGCACCAAGAGACAGAATAGAGACCTGACATTTCATGAGACACATGGGGCTGAGAAACAAAGAGGAGATGGAGTCCATAGTCTGGTTAAAATATCTTCCTCCGTGAACATAAATGTTAAAACAAGCAAGTTCTCACTGCCAAGGAACTCCAACGGAATTTAAACACATCCAAAAAAGGATGTGTTTAAGGAACGACCCTAGCACAAAGATGTACCTAGCATGCAGAATCCTTTGTTTAGAAAGATAATTTAAGCTTTCTAGAGATTAAACCAATTAAAACAAAGCACCTGTGTCTCACAGAATACCTCGAGTACTGTAACAGTAATTCTCAGGGTTTACTCGGCTCTGAACTTGATTGAACATGAGTGTACTTCCACCACCTCGATGAGACCCAGGCTTTCAATATTTCCACCTGAACAGCTTCAAGTTTTTCCTCCTGCTTCCCACTCATCCCCCTCCTAATCTTGCTCCATGACAAAGCTGAGGGAATCTTCAGAACCCCTCACCTGCTGCACACCCTCCACTGGTTTCTCCTGCGTTGGAGATCAGTCCATACCAGGTACCAGGGCCCTTCCTGACAGCAAGCACCGCGTCTCTCTTGCTCCCCAGCCTGGAATTCAGTGCTCCCACCAGCCCGAACACTGGCCTGTTCTTTTTCTCACCTAGGGGCTTTTGTTGGGCACCCTTAGCCCTTCATTAGACCACAATTCATACTCAGTCTTATAACTGTCCCCTCTGCATGATTCTAAGCTCTGCTTGCTCTGCAGCAACATAGGGTCTGGAAATGACAAAGGTGTGTCTCCCAGCCACATCCTGAATTGTGGGATTTTTTTGTTTTGTTTTGTTTTGTTTGTTTTGTTTTGTTAGCTATTGCTTGTTTTTAAACTATCTTTTCACAAGATTTGTGACACATATACAGAAATGGGTTTTCGAACATTACTATTTATATAAAGGATAATCATGTCAACAAATAAAAAAGATAATGAGTGGTGATTTTTTTCCAGTTCACCCTTCATTCCTTCTTTGTTCATTCCACAGGCCTTCTACGTGCGAGGCACTGTGTACATAAGGAATGTTTGGGAGAGAAACAACCACCTGCAGCCACACTGCTTCATGGCCCTCTGCTTCAGAATTTTGTGTCTCCTACCTTCTAACTTATGTTCTTGTGCACATTTATTCATTTACTTAAGAAACATTTGTCAAGAACTGACTCTGAACCAGGACCTACGATGGGCATTGAAAACTCAGTGATAAACAAAAGTTGTCTCAACCTCTGTTCCATAAAATTTGAAGTCCGATGAGGAGGACAGGCAGTATCAAACTGTCCCTAAACATACAATCAAACTACAATTACTGCAAAAAAGGAAAAAAAAAAGAGTGCAATGAAACATACAGCAGGGGGCCCTGACTGGGGAACTCAGGAAATGTTTCCTTCAAGAAGTAACTTTTTCACCAAGATCTGGGGTTGGAGGAAGAGAAGGAGCAGGCGAATTGGAAGAAACCAGTGTTGGGAGTGGAATGGGCTAGGGATCTGCAGTGGTGAAGCTGGAGAGTTGGGCAGGGGCCAGGGAAATTCAGGTCATATTAAGACTTTTAAAGAATGTTTAGAAAGGATGTGATCTGCTCAGATTGAGATTTCTCAGTTTACCATCCACTAGATTGTAGGTTCTTCATGTCCTGAGGCTGCATCAAACTCCAGCAGAGGGCTTTGAATGCAGTTGGTGCCAAATTGATACTGACTAAGCATGTAGAAAGGAGGTCAGTGATGTGACCATGCACTGGGATGTTACTGGTGACCTATCTACTTCAGTGGATACTTGTACCTCCAGCCCAGGAGATGCTGCCGGAATCCACAGTCATTTCCCCTGCCCATGCAGACTGGAAGTGAAGGGGCCAGGACACACTCTCTCTCTCTGTTTTTGTTTTTTTTTTTTTCGAGATAGGGTCTCGCTCTCACCCAAGCAGCATGCAGTGGCACAATCTCAGTTCAAAGCAACCTCCACTTCCTGGGACTTAAGCAATCCTCCAGCCTCAGCCTCCCGAGTAGCTGGGACCACAGGTGGGAGCCACCACACCAGGCTAATTTTTTGTTTTTGTTTTTCCACTTTTTGTAGAGATGATGTGTCACCATGTTGCCCAGGCTGGTCTCAAACTCCTGAGCTCAAAGCAATCCAACTGCCTCAGCATCCCAGTGGTAGGATTACAGGCATGAGCCACTGCAGTCAGCCCACTCTATTTTTCACTTAAGAAATATTTCGGGCGGGGCGTGGTGGCTCACGCCTATAATCCCAGCACTTTGGGAGGCCGAGGCAGGCAGATCACGAGGTCAAGAGTTCAAGACCATCCTGGTCAACATGGTGAAACCCCGTCTCTACTAAAAATACGAAAACTAGCTGGGCGTGGTGGTGCGCACCTGTAATTCCAGCTACTCAGGAGGCTGAAGCAGGAGAATTCCTTGAACCCAGGAGGCAGAGGTTGCGGTGAGCCGAGATTGTGCCATTGCACTCCAGCCTGGGCAACAAGAGGGAAACTCCATCTCAAAAAAAAAAAAAAAGAAAGAAAGAAATATTTCAGTTTAGATAAATTCTCTAGAGCAGAAAAATGTCTGAGTTATTCCCTCTCTGGATACTCACTAGGAGGGTCATTATTTGGCCGCAATCTCAACTGCAAAACTCATTGTGCATCATTCTAATGACAGCGGGGCGAGTGGAGTGGGAAGTGGATTCTCTTTCCCTAGTCCTTCCAGCTCTTCTCTTTCACTCAGAGAGTCTGTGATCAGCGACACATGGTTCCATATTCCCCGACTTTGCTCTTTCATATTCTGAAGGCTTTCGACACCCGTTAATTCATCACCACCCACAAGCTGGCCAGTGTGAATTTGGGTGTCCTAGTGGGATTCTGACTTTTGTGGGATTGACTTCTTTTAAATCTTGGAATTGATGCTCAGCAAATATGCCAAATGCTCCCATTCTGTGCTAGAGAAAATGTCACCTTTGAGGTCATTAACAATACATTTGCCATCACCATCTTTAGACAGTAAGGGAAAGGCTTTTTGGAACAGAGAGAACAGATAGAGATAAATTTCAGAGGCCCTTTTCATGCAATAATGATTTTCATAAAATGGAACCAGGTTTCAAGGATTTTTGTCCCCTCCGGAGAGGCTTTTCCTCCCTGTGTGTGCACAGTATGTGAATATGATTATATAAATGCAGTAGGAAGACAAGCTCCTGATCACTCTTTAAATCACTTGATGCTTTGATCTCATTTTTAAAGCCACTAAAAACCATGGTTGATGGCTAAATTACCGATGTATTTTTAAACAGCTTCTGTATTTATTTGTTTGGCTGTTTTCATCCCTTCTTCTCCCTCATGCCATTCTGTGATGCTGCCTCAGCCTCAGAGATTCAGCATGGCCGTCTGCTGAACACATGAATACTAAAGAATTGGTTTCCTTAGTAACAATAACCATGAGGCAGCTCACAGAACTTCCTGCCTTCTGTCTGTCCGACGTTTTTTTCTGTTGGTCACGTGGAAAAGACACCCAAACCCAGCCTGCCTATAAAGGATGCACATAAATGTTGTGACCCATGAGCAGAAGGGAGACTTGTCTCTGCTGATTTCCTATTTCTTTTCTCCACATGTTGCCCTGTTCTGTGTGGACAGGGCTAAGCCAGGGCACCAGCGAAGAGCTATGGGCCATGTCAGAGCTCACCGTCTTTCTTCATATAAGAATATGGAACCACAAAACCATAATGCAAGACACATAAACGAGATGACCCTTTGTCTGTAGGTCACCAGCGTGGAACTTTATAAAATAGAATACATTCCATTCACAATATTTTAAGTGCTAAAAAGAAAATGTTAATCTAGTAAAGAAAGCTTTGCTGTTTTTCCAGGTTTGCTTTTTGAGCATCTATCTGTTGTGAGATATTGCTACAAGCAGTCCTGTGAAGCATATCATCCCACTTCACAAACTGAGCTTAAGAAGGCAAAATGACTCCCGCACAGTGAAAACGCTAGGCAGCTGCAGATCCAGCAGTCAGACCCAGAGCTGTCTGAAGGCAAAGTCCAGGGTCTTAAGCACAGGAGGAGGGAAAGTAGGTTGTCCAAAGTCTCTGGTGTGATGTGCACATTGGCAGTTCACTTTTGCCGGGGCATGAGGTATAGGGAGAAGTGCGGAAAGAACAGGCAGGCTAGCTCAGGGGAGCCTTGCTGATGAGCATGGCTATGAAGGGAACCTATAGAAGGGTTTTAAGCAATGTTGGCAAATCACTTGATTTGCATTTTGGGAAGATCGTTCTTGGGAATTTTGAGGAGGATGGATTTGAGGGGCTAGAACTGGGGGCAAGGAGATCTGTTAGCCCCTTACAGTCAGTAGGCCTGGTAAAGAGTAATGTTGGCCTGAATCTGAGCAATAGGGATGGAAAGGAAGGGACTTCCCAAAACTTTCCGCACATGGATCCTTCTGCCAGACACCTTCTCTATCATTGTACCTGCAGCTGAGGCTTCAGGGTTATGGGGCTCTCTCTGAGACTCACATGCTCACAAGCGAGGGCTACTCTTGATTTTGTATTTTCAAACCTTTCTGAATTTAGCCTACCCTTCCAGACCCTCCACTGCATCTCATTTTCTTTTCAACTCTGAGTCTAGTACAGCAGGAGGCACTCAGCAAAAGCAAGTTGAATGAAAGGATGAATGAATTGGAACAGCTTCCAATTTCCCTCCTGTTAATAAAACCTGTGGTCCTGACCATGGCTGTCCTATTGCTGCCCTCATTCATAGGTGGTCCAGGAAGCTGGATGGATGCTCCCATCAAGCATGAGATATGAGCCACCTGGCTGTCACGATGGACGCACACACTGATGGATATATTGTATCATTTCCTCTCTTGGATTTGACACTAAGTGACAGATGTCAACATTTAGACCCTGTAGTTAGAAAAATCAGAACTCCAACAAACACCGTGGCACACATTTACCTATGTAACAAACCTGCACATCCTGCACATGTACCTCAGAACTAAAAATAAAACTTTAAAAAAGAAAACAGAACTCAAAACCTATCTGTGCAGTTTCATATTTCTTAGATAAAAAGGCAAGGATGGACCCTCTCTGCACAGTGTCCTGACCAAAGGAAAATAAGGCCAAAGTCTAATGGGTTGGTAAGAGTTTGAATTGGACCCACACAAAGAGATAGCAGAGATGTTCCAATCAGTTGAGGACCTGCTGTGTAGCGTTTTGAGGGCAAGCCAGTTCATAGCTAATCATTTTAATGGCTTCTCCCATCTGATGGTCTTAGTTTGTCCTTGTCCTAAAATAAGTAAACATTTTAAAAACAAGATGTAAAACCAGAACAAACAACTGTGAGGTAAACTCAGTGACATCAGCTGCAATGGAATAAAACACACATACTATTCTGCTGCCCAGCACTTTAGCAAATAACCCAACCCGTCCTAATTGTTGTACCTTTAACAAAAAATAGGTACATGCCTCATCCACCTTTTTAGACAGTTTTACTGTTCATATGTGTTAAGTGTACAGATCAGTGATTTCTTTTTTTCTTTTCTTTTCTTTTTTGAGACAGAGTCTCTCTCTCTCGCCCCTGCTGGAGTGCAGTGGCACAGTCTCAGCCCACTGCAACCTCTGCCTCTCAGGTTCAAGCAATTCTCCTGCCTCAGCTTCTTGGGTAGCTGGAACTACAGGTGTGCACCACCATGCCTGGCTAATTTTTTGTACTTTTAGTAGAGATGGGTTTCACCATGTTGGCCAGGATGGTCTCAAACTTCTGACCTCAAATGATCTGCCCACCTCAGCCTTGCAAAGTGCTGAGCCACAGGCATGAACCATCCCACCCAGACCACTTCAATGATTTTTGGTAAATGTACAGGGTTATGCCACCATGACCAGGATCCAGTTTTAAAACATTTCCATCACCCTAAAAAGGCCCCTTACGATCATTTCTCCTACACATTTTAAAGTTATGTAAAATTTTTCATCTAAATTTAAATGAGATTAATTTTTGTCAATAGGAGGTGGAAAAGTATTACACTTCTAATATGATGTGGTAGATTGAAACTGGAGTAACTAATGATGTGATTTGATGAAATAGACTTTCTCCTATTGAATAATATACCTAAAATATGGTAGAAATCATGTAAAATTTTATTTAAGATTTAGGATTCTGTCACTTGAAATCTGGCTCATAATAACAATGATAAGAAAGTAAATAAATGAATATGAATTGAACACTCCCCAGTGCCAGGGACTGTACAAGCCCCTGCACTCATCTTCTCATTGAATCTTCACAACAAACTGTAAAGGTGATACTATTAATAGCCACATTTCACAGGTGAGGAAATTGGGATTCGGAGAGATTAAATAACTTGCTGAAAGTTCCATGGTTAATAAGTGGTGGAGGCACATTCAAACTCAGGCAATCTGACCCCAGAGCAGGAGTGAGCAGGAGCTCTTAGCAAATTTTGTATTTTCAAATTTCACAAAATTTGAAATTTGTTTGATTTGCTGCCTGACCATCAAAGGCAGCACTGCAAGTGAGTTGGGGAAGGAGTTGCTGAGGGATGAGGATTCAGGCTGATGACCTCGCTATAACCAGTCCTCTCCCATTGGTTCCCTTTCCTGCACCTAGATCTACCACAGAGCCCCAGGTTTGAAATCTAAAGACAGCTGTGCCCTCCCAAGGACTCCAGCTTGTGAGAACCGGACACCATCCTTTAACCCAATGCTCCTTGGCCATTGCTGCATGTTGGGTAACCAGAAGCCCAACTCAGTACCCAGCATCAAGAAGAGTAGGACCGAGATGGGCAAAAGATTCAGGGACTAAACCTGTGTGGAACCTTTTCTGCCTTTTCTATGACAAGATATGTTCCTTTTAAAGAAACAAAAATCTGCAAATAAATGCAAAGGCGGGGAATGACTGTAGCTTTCATATTCTCTGATGAGAAGGAGGCTTGCGGCCTCTGAATCACTGACCAAAGGCAACAACAGATCACCATGAGGTCTCAGAAAAACACTGGAAAACACAACTAGTTCTTCATAAAGCATACAATAGCAATTACCATATTTTAGCATATGGATCCGCACTGAATTGTTTCACAGTTATAATTAGGTTGTTAATGCAGTGCAGAATTGGGCCATATACTAATTTGGTATATACTTTCTCTAATCTGATGGAAATGCAACGTTTAGAGGGCTTGGCTTTTCTTTTTTGTCAGAAACAATTAAAAAGGTATTTTTCAACTTAAGAACTTTAATATCACATATCACATTTTTCTTTTTTTAATTGTGTTGGGATTGGGGCGGGATGTGAGAGAGAGAGAGACAGAGAAGGAGAGAGATTTCACCCAAATTATAGCTCAAGCCATACACTTTTGTGTCTGATTTGTTTCCAGCAATCATTTATGATTCTTTTCTTTCTTGTTTGCTTTTCCCTCCTTTTCTTTTTTGCCTTTGGTGAACTGAAACTGAATTTTTTTTCTCCAGGACAATTCTCGGTTCCAGTCATAGTAAATGCCAATTTCATTTCCATCTTATTATTTTTCTAATTAAACATTTGTCATGCAGGAGAAGATCTGAGGTGCCTGTGCTTTCCATTATGTAAAATATTCAGTTATGATAATAGGTCTGGAATGCTATTTTGAAGGTGTTATGGAAAGAAATCAGGGACAATAAAATAAAATCAACTGTATTTTACCCTGGACTTTTGCCTGTTTATTTTCTCCCTAATTTGCCACAGTTGCTAATATTGATTGTCTCCTATCATGAGGGATATAAACATACTTAGTATCTACAATGAGGAGAATTCTGTAAAATCTGTATCTAAAAATTTTTAAAGGTTTAAAAATCTAACTCTATTTCATACAACATTAGATTCCTTTCCCATTTTTTCCCCTCTGTCCACACTTAGCAAAATCTATGCTCCTATACCTGAGGAAATGTGCTTGAGCTCAAATTGTTTCAGAACAAAGTAGGAATAGGCCAGACAGACAGCCTAATATTTCTCGGACATCTTTTTTTCTTCTTATGACAAAGCCCATGGGGATAGGCTCTGTGAAAGGAGAATTTATTTTCTTAACTCTTTAAACACAAAGCTTTTCCATTTTCCGGGGCAGGTTATTTTTCCCAGACAAGCATTAAGAGTCACATCTTACATCTATGTTAACATCCATACATTTATACCTATACATATATATTCTATATATGTGTGTATGTATATCATGCGTATCTGTGTGTATACTTTTATCTGTCTATTAATCTACAAAATCTTAGACTTGCCGGTGCAGTGGCTCATGCCTGTAATCCCAGCAGTTTGGGAGGTTGAGGTGGGCGGATCATGAGGTCAGGAGTTTGAGACCAACCTGGCCAACATGGTGAAACCCCGTCTCTACTAAAGATACAAGCCAGGCATGGTGGCGCATGCCTGTAATCCCAGCTACTTGGGAGGCTGAGGCAGAAGAATAGCTTGAATCCAGGAGGCAGAAGTTGCAGTGAGCAGAGATCATGCCACTGCACTCCAGCCTGGGTGACAGGGCGAGACTTCATCTCAAAAAAAAAAAATTAAAGTCTAAAATCCTTTATAGCTGGGACTGCAGGTGCCCGCCACCATGCTCAACTAACTTTTGTATCTTTAAGAGAGACAGAGTTTCACCATGTTGGCCAGGCCGGTCTCAAACTCCTGACCTTAGGTGATCCACTGGCCTCAGCCTCCCAGAGTGCTGGGATTACAGGCATAAGCCACCATGCCCAGCCTAAACTTTAATTTTCAATTATTTTCATAGTTTGCACAGAATTATCTGTGAAATTCCGTTTTATAAAGGTAGGACCATTTCCTCACTAATTCTAAAAATGTATCCTGAGACCTTGCCGTTGTGGGAAGAAATGCTTGTGTATTTTCTGCCATTGCCACCTCCTGAAACACAGTGTGTATGGTGTGTGTATGTGTGTGTGTGTGCACTAGACTGCAATAGAGAGTGCTGTTATTTGGATCTCACTGGGAGTAACTGTGTGCTTTGTATTGGGAAAATGGAAGATGCTGCTGTGGTGGCCCCTCCCAGATCCCATTTTCTGAGCTAGTGACGCCACCACAGCTGCTTTGGGTGTTAGCTCCTGAAGACCCACTAATGTCTTTACTTCTGAGGAAATTGCCCTGGGCTAGTAGGAGAGCCACATCATCCAGGAAGTTAGTGAAAGAAGGCCACAGCCAGTGACTAGTGGATAAGGGCACAGAAGTCCAGCACCTTGGCCTCAAGAGGAAGCAATTCTGTGGTGTGGTCCATATTTCAGAGCCCTCCACCATGAACCAGACCAAGGTTGGAATTTCTATGAGACCACATCCTTCCCCTTCCCTCTCTGGCTTCACTCTATCCTTAGTGGGATTTTCCTGTGGAGCACTTTCTCAATAAATCACACACACACCCAATTCCTGTCTCAGGCTCTGCTCTAAGCAACTTCTTTCAGTTTGGGATATCCAATATCCTAATCAGTAAAACATGGGATAATACTTTTTGCTTAGTCTATTTTTTAAAGTTTTGGTACAAATGTCAGATAATGTGCAACGATTTTGTTAGCAACCAAAGATGTAAAAATATTTCATAGGCAACATGGTAAATACTGTTTATGTGAATATTTAACTTTAGCTTTGATGAAAATATAGCAGACTTCCCCCAACTTGGGTTTTCATACTTTAGGCTAATGTCTACTGTGCTCATTTAATCATTCCCCAGGAAGAGCTGGTTTGCAAGAGTTACTGCCCTGTCTGCTTTGCTCTCTGCACCTGGGCTCTGCAAGGTAAATGAGTGAAGGAGACGTGAGTCCAGTGAAAGGCCGTGTCAGGCTAGAGAGCACACAGCCCCAGCCAAAGGCTAAATAAGCAGGAACCCAGACCTGGTCCTGCCTGATATTTAGAGGGTTTTAAGTGAAGCTAGGCACCAGATTTTTAAACGAAATCTCCAGATTCTTGAATACTAACAATGTTTTTTTTGAGAACTCCACCCAGGCTGAAGTTCATTACAGCCTCAAACTCCTGAGCTCAATCAACCCTCCCACCTCAGCATCCTGAGTAGGTAGAACTATAGATGTGTGCAACCACACCCAGCTCATTTTTATTTATTTTATTTTTTTGTGGAAACAGGGTCTTGCTATGTTGCCCAGACTGTCTTAAACTCCTGGGCTCACGGAATCCTCCTGGCCTGGCCTCCCGAAGTAGTGGGATCACAGGCATGAGCCACTGTGCCTAGCTCCTAATAATAGACTTTTAAACAATTTTAACACCCTACTATTCAAGCAGCATATGACTGGGGGCCTAACTGAGCTAGCAGTGTGTTACGTCTGTCCAAATTTTGGCCTCTGAAAGAACAGATCGGATGGTCCCCACTGAGGCCTCAACATTCAGCACAACACTCAGAATAAGGCAGATGAAAGGCTCTGGATAAACAGGACCATCATTAGAAATGTGTGTTTCCAAGGAGTTAAATAAATGACTGCTGGTTTCAGTAAATAGCGCTCTACTTTGTAAAAATCACCTAGCATATGATTCTTTTCCCTAAACAGTATTACAACATATGCAGATTTTTATTCAGTTGCCAGCTTGCTATTGCACAACTTTTCAAGGACACTGAGTCTATTTACTCATGTATTAAACGGAAACAATTATGCCTGACCTGAAAATAAGTGAAAGCATGTAAAAGTTCTTTACAAATAGTGGTGATCAATCCAGATGGAAGAAATCATTGTTCTCTAAATTCTGCCATGGAATCTAATTCCCATACTCAGAAATTTTAAAACAAGGAACGGAGGTTTTCATCTTTCTTCTTCTAACATAGTGTTTCCTTAACTTTAGTTGAGATTTTTGCTTTAAAAATGGCATTATTTTCTTTTACTATTAATTAGCTTTTTCTTTAAATCAAATACATTCTTTTCCTCACTACCAGCCATTTTTTTCAAATACAGTTTTTTTTTCTTTGAGGCAGCATCTCAGTTGCCCAGGCTGGAGTATGGTGGCACAATCTTGGCTCACTGCAACCTCTGCTTCCTGGGTTCAAGTGATTCTCCTGCCTTAGCCACCCAAGTAGCTGAGATTACAGATGCATGCCACATGTCTGGCTAATTTTGTAATTTTTAGTAGAGACAAGGTTTCACCATGTTGGCCAGGCTGGTCTCGAACTCCTGACCTCAGGTGATACTAACAACATTTTTTTTGAGGCCTCATCTGCCTCCCAAAGTGCTGGGATTACAGGCGTGAACCACTGCACCCAGCCTCAACTACCAATTTTTTTGTTTTGTTTTTGGTTGAGACAGTCTTGCTCTGTCGCCCAGGCTGGACCACATTGGCACAATCTCAGCTCACTGCAACCTTCGCCTCCCGGGTTCAAGCAATTGCCCTGCCTCAGCTTCCCGAGTAGCTGGGATTACAGCATGTGCCACCACACCCGGCTTTTTGTATTTTTAGTAGAGATGAGGTTTCACCATGTTGGCCAGGCTGGTCTTGAACTTTAGATCTCAGGTGATCTGCCCACCTCGGCCTCCCAAAGTGCTGGGATTACAGGCGTGAGTCACCGCACCTGGCCTTCAATCACCAATTTTATCTTTGTCCTAAGCAATAATATCTGTAAATCCACAGGTTTCATGCCCTATATTTAACTTTTACACACTTACAGACACACAGACATATATACACACATATATGTATGTGCATATGTGTGTAAATACATACATATGTGTGTATATGTATGTCTGTGTATGCATAGAATATGCATCTGTGTACCACCTAAAATCACCTTGCTTATCAACAATTTTATGAGTGTCCCCTTTTGTATATTCTGCCTCACTAGAAAGAGTAAAACTTCATAGAAAAAAAGTTTTCTGCCTCAGTTTATCAATATACTTTTTGAACATTTGTCAGCTACTGTCTATCCCATGTAAACCTAGAACAGGCAGGAGAAAATTAAAGTCATCAAGTTCCCCAACATTTTAAACCCCTCTAAAGAGCTTTGAAAGTTAATGCAGCTAATGAACTTCAGTAGGAAATGCTCCAAATCTTCCTGCTCCAGATTTCTGTGGGTTTGGTAATGCTAGTGAGTCACAGAGGGTAAGCCTTAGAGAGCCATATATGCAAAGTGCCTAAGATCTCTCAGCCTTTTCCCTAGGGGACTCTAGGTAATATCACAAGTGAGTTTTAACCCAGCAGAGTCTGGTGGCACCTTCTCAACTGCTTTTATGCAGGAAGCTGTCTGCCACTATGTTCCTAACCAAGCCCCCCAACACTGTAATTTCTAAGATTGACTTTAGTCATTTTATAACATAATGGCATTCAAACTGGTCTCCAGTCGGATATGAGATGATGTTAATAATTGCAATCTGCATTTAGGTGGCGCCTCCTGGCAAGCACTGAGAGTTTTACAAACGTTATCTCATTTTCATCTTCATGGCACCCTTGTGAAGCAACCTTTTTTTTTTTTTAATTGCAATTCTACAGAGAGAGCAGCTGGGGGGTAAAGAGGTTAAATGGATTGCCTGATCTGAAATCAGAGATATCAAACCTGGTTTGATGTTGTCTAAAGAAAGTATTTGTAATGTGTTTGTGTGGGGGGTTAATGCTAAATGCTGAAAATGTCTCTGAAAATATTTACGTTTAGGTCTGTACACTCATAGACTCTTTAAACCTTGTATTCAATGTGGTGTTAATGGCATGCACC